TGTTGGGGTGGGGGATTGTCCTGGGCAGGGCCAGGGGTTGGACTGGATGGTCCTTGGGGTCCTTTCTAGTTCAGGATATTCCATAATTCTATGAATGATTTTTGATCTGATTAAGGAACCAACCACAGCTCTTAGGGAGTTGTTCCAGTGAGTGTCACCTCAGTGCTAAAACTGCCTTACCTCCTCCCTGGAATGGCTTTGCTCCTTTCCTCAGCTGGTGTGAAGAGCAGTATCCCTTAGGAACATCAAGGATTCCTGAATACCTGCTTTCAGTCCTATCCCACTGCTGCCATAAGCTCATTTTTAAACTACTTTCTTATCTTTCCCATTGCCATATTGTTGCTGTTGGATTGCATTCCTCACTATTTCCTCTAGTGCTTGGCTGCTGCCTTCTTGTTTCAGTGTCAGTGTGTCCCTGGCTAATTCCTACCCCTGGATCTCGTGCTGGCCCTGCCCTTTCCCCCACAACCGTGTCCCTGGTGTGTCCCTGGAGGGCAGTCACAGCTGTCCCAGCTGGAAGCACTGAGCCCTGGCACTGCTGCTTCTGCACCAGTTTGTCTTGGAATTTGGGCTCTGAAGCTTTGCTTGCACGGGGGCAGGAGGAATTTCACACCCTCACAGTGAGCACCTTTCCCTGCACGCCCTCAGATGCTTGAATGAGAGTTTCCAGCTTGGTTATTAATTACAATTCTGGCACAGGATGTTTCTGTAGGGCGTTGAGGTCTAGTTTTTATTAAATCCAATCAGTTTTGCAATGTCCTGGTAATTAATCTGCCACCCAAACCCCAGCCCTCCCAGCCTGCCTCGTGTTGCCTGTCTGGTTTGGCACATTAAACATTCTGGAGCTCGCAAAAATGGCTTTAAAGTTTCCTGAAAGTTATCTGTGATTAGCTGAGGTTGGGGGTGGTTCTTAATCTTACTTAAACTGTCACTGTTGACTGGGAAATATCTTGTTGCTACCATCAAAAATGAAGATCCTACTTGGCATCTTCACAAGCATAAAAGATGGATATTTTATGCATTCTCTAATACTAAAAGTTACTGCATTCCTTCCCAATAACAGATCTGAGCTATTAAAATAATTTCCCCATTATTATTCTTTTACAACATCCTTGTTGTCCTTTACCTTCTTGGGAAGGATTTATTTTTACTTGTCTCTGTCACTTTTCTTACATTTTGAGTGTATTTCATAAGTGATCCCTTTGAGTAACCTCCACTGATAGCAAGGCAGCATGTCTGATTTTTGTTTGGGAGACAGATTTGTTATTCCTGCTTTTAGGAAGCAGCACACTGGGAGTATGGAGTGTCCTGGGTTTGGCTGGGATACAGTTAATTGTCCTCCCAGGGGCTGCTGCAGGGCTGTGCTTTGGATTCAGGATGAGGATAAACCACAACACAGAGTCATTTCCCTGGGATGTGAAGTGGCTTCCCAGTGTCATAACCTGTCCCAGGATTTGGCAAGGAGTTATGCAAGAGAACAAAGGAGTTTAAA